TATATAGTATTAAGTAACTGTTTAAAGATAGAAATCAAAATAAATGCCAATTTATAAAACTGGATACAGATCTTTAACACACATTTCTTCAATGATGATATTTCAATATGCTGCAAGATTCTAGTGTTGTAAAAAAATGATAGAAGAAAAAAATAAGCAAAAAAGAGAAATCAATGAGTATGTTCAAAATGTTGATAAGCCATAATACTCTGATATGAATTTCTCTTCACCTTTACTTTGAGTAATTCTTATAGCTGCGCTAGTAGTTGAGATTGCTGTTTGATGAGCGATTAATTTAGTAAATTGAAAGGAATCGTCTCTAATAAATAGAGAAGGTCAGTATAGGATGAGAGCACACTACAAGATTTTTGCCGAATTTTAAAAACATAGGAATATAAATAAATTTTTACCATTGAGAACATAAATCTCAAAACAAATTTCCAACATTGGTTGTGCCTACATAATTTTAATAGCATAAATCTGGTCTGATTAGTCTATTCGAATTTACTACCTTCAGTTGATTTTAAATACCATACAAGTGCTTTAGCTACATACCATTTCCATAGCAAAATCTAGTATTATTTGCCCAGACTTAAAATTTAGCTGTACCTATACAGTACCTTTGTCATAGAATATTCCAAAATTAAAAATGTCTAAATTACCATCTTCAGCAGATTTCAAACACTACTCAAATGCCTATTTTCATCACCACTGCCTATAGAATACTCCAGATTACGTGTTCATCCGAATTGCCACTTTCGGCAGCTTCAAATACCACTCAATGCTCTTCGTGTCTCCTAGAACAGTATCTCCGGTTGATATTCCATAAAATGCTGTTTATTTGGCATATTAATATTGAGGACGCACACACTGCTACGTTAAAACTTCTTGATAAGAAGAGATATACAGTAAAACCTCTATAAGTGCACCTTCTATAAGTGCACACTCTAATTAAATGCATACTCAAGTTCTGGCCCAAATATATACATGCACCCTATAAATGCATATTCTCTTATTAATCTATAAGTGCATGTTGTTAAAGCTTGGTCCCAAGAGCGTGCACTTCTAAAGGTTTTACTGTAGTTACTTTGGCGTTTACGATGGCCACGTTTAGAGAATCTATAAAATTTAGATCCGAATTAGTCACATAATTTAGAAATTAACTCCTTATATGGTGCATTTCGAGAGATCATAGCATGCTAATAGAATATTTTACGTAGTTAAGTCTAAATCGCTTTTTATAAGCGCATTTTTTCTCAACAACTTTGTACTTTGGGTTGATATTGCGATTACCTTGTGATCTGCATATTCTCGACACTATTAAGATGTTTACTTAGATAATACCGTATTAATCTATAATTACCTCTATAGTGAGCTTGCTGTTTTGGGAGGTTTTTTTTTTTTGTTCTTCTAAAAAAAACTGTACATTCACAAGGTGGATTTTTAATTAATTAAACCGCGTCAAATTTACTTAGTGTATGTCGATCATTTTATCTGGGTAACTCGCAGATTATCAATTAAAGTAATGATTTGACAATCTAAAAAGCTCAGTATCTGAGATATATTAAAGTAATAATTTAACAATCTAAAAAGCTCAGAATCTGATATATATTAAAGTAATAATTTGACAATCTAATAAAGCTAAGAATCTGAGTGCTCTGACCTGCTTGTGAACGAAGTCAGAACATCAGCAAAATATATAACCATAATCTTGCATAAGAAATTACGGCCTGTAATATTGCGCAAGAATTATAGTCTGGGCATAATATTGCACAAGTTATTTTGGAATATTACGCAATTTATTACGGAATATTGCGCAATTTATTACGAAATATTGTGCAATTTATTACATAATATTATGCAAATTATTTTGGAATATTATGCAAATATTTCGAATTGCTAATTTTAATGGGAGGAAAATTCTCTGTTACACAATTAATATAATATTGCATAAACGATTTATATAAAATTTTGAATTTATTATTTATTACATTATATTTATTACTTTTGTAACATAAATGGTATATATATAATAGTAAATATTACTCTAATCTCTAACTCGCATCTATATTATCCTAACCTTGCACTCTTCAAATACCAAAGCGACCTATGCTCCCAGAATGACGGCACTAAAGCAACAACAGAGGAATATATAAAAACTATAATAATACCAAGATACCAACATGACAACAACGAATCAACAACGACAATGGCGACTCCAAACGAATGGCACCAACATGCGACGATTCCAAAAGCAAAAAAAGAATAATAAGATACCAAAATACATAGCATTCATTAAAACCAAGCTACAACACTAATATACATTGAAATCAAGCTACACTAACAACACCAAGAAGAAACCTAGTAGCAACAAATCAACAACAACTGAAATACACAAAAAAAAAAAAAAAAATAATGCCCCATAAACAATATTAGCAATAGCACTTACATGAAAACAAAAGCACCAACGAACGATGATCCAAGCAAAGTATGGCGACTCCAAACGAATGACACTAACATGCGACAATTCCAAAAGCGAAGAAAGAATAATGAAATACCAAAATACACAGCATTCATCAAACCAAGCTACAACACCAATATACATTGAAATCAAGCTACACTAACAACACCAAGAAAAAACCTAGTGGCAACAAATTAACAACTAAAATACACAAACAAAAAAAAAAGAAATAATGCCCCATAAACAATATTAGCAATAGCACTTACATGGAAACAAAAGCACCAATGAACAACGATCCAAGCAAAGTACGGTGACTCCAAACGAATAGCACCAACATGCGACGATTCCAAAAGCGAAGAGACACCAAAATACACAGCATTTATCAAAACCAAGCTACAACACTAATATATATTGAAATCAAGCTACACTAACAAACCAAGAAGAAACCTAGTGGCAACAAATCAACAACAACTGAAATACACAAACAAAAAAAAAGAAATAATGCCCCATAAATGATATCAGCAATAGCACTTACATGAAAACAAAAGCACCAATGACGACGATCCAAGCAAAGTACGGTGACTCCAAACGAATAGCACCAACATGCGATGATTCCAAAAGCGAAGAAAGAATAATGAGACACCAAAATACACAGCATTCATCAAAACCAAGCTACGACACTAATATATATTGAAATCAAGCTACACTAACAAACCAAGAAGAAATCTAGTAGCAACAAATCAACAACAACTGAAATACACAAACAAAAAAAGAAATAGTGCCCCATAAATGATATCAGCAATAGCACTTATATAGAAACAAAAGCACCAACGAATGACGATCCAAGCAAAGTATGGCAACTCCAAACGAATAGCACCAACATGCGATAATTCCAAAAGCGAAGAAAGAATAATGAGACACCAAAATACACAGCATTCATCAAAACCAAGCTACAACACCAATATATACTGAAATCAAGCTACACTAACAACACCAAGAAGAAACCTAGCAGCAACAAATCAACAACTAAAATACACAAACAAAAAAAGAAATAATGACCTATAAATGATATTAGCAATGGCACTTACATGAAAACAAAAGTACTAACGAACGACGATACAAGCAAAGGAAACAATATACGGCGACTCCAAACGAATGGCACCAACATGCGACAATTCCAAAAGCGAAGAAAGAATAATGAGACACCAAAATATACAGCATTCATCAAAACCAAGCTACAACACCAATATACATTGAAATCAAACTACACTAACATGCGATGAAACTAAGCTACAACACCAAAAAGAAACCTAGCAGCAACAAATCAAAAACAACTAAAATACACAAACAAAAAAAAAGGAATAATGCCCCCATAAACGATATCAACAATGGTACTTACATGGAAACAAAAGCACCAACGAATGACAATCCAAGCAAAGTACGGCGACTTCAAATGAATGGCACCAACATGCAACAATTCAAGCAAAGAAAAAAATATACGGTAATGACTCCAAACAATGGTACCTAACTCAAAGAAAAAACTCTAATTTGTAAAAGCAACTGAAAAGAAAAAGAAAAGTAAATATATAAATTAAAAAAAAAGTTAAAATTTTAAAAAGTTAAAAAAAGTTAAAAACGAAAAGATCTAATCTTGTAATACAGTAATAACAGGTAAAAAAAAATTCTGTAGATCGCACAATCGAAGATACAAAGCTAATAAACAATTAAGATACGTAATAAATATTTATTAATTTAAATATTTAAATGTATTCTCAAGTGCCTCATTCAATGAATTCTATAAAGAATAGTGATGATTTAGATGATGAAATGAATTTTAAATTTCTTTATAATATAATTTATAAAATGTAAAAGCGATAATTATTCGAAATAAATTTTGAAATATTTCGAAATTTTCTTACGTAATATTTCGTAATTGCTTACGTAATATTTCATAATTAAGATATTTCGCAATATTTCAAAATTTCTTCCGTAATATTACAGATATTTTATGTTTGTAAATTATTACGAAATATTACGGTCTTATAAATTTGCTGATGAAGGTGGTACATTATTGGAAGTCACTGGATCTCTCATGTGACTAGGTCATGGGCCAGATTCCATAACAGAATAGAGATATTTAAGTAACTCGATGATCTGATCTGTCTCTTTGTTCTCGAATTTTTCTGCTCGACTTTGTGTCTAGCACCTGTCGCAAGAACAAGCCATCTATACGAAGATTTTTTCTTTTTTATGATAGACATTTTTTCTTTCTTGAAAAGATAAACTTACTTTTTTCTCAAACTATCATTACCAAAAAAAAAAAAAAGAAAAAGAATATATATATACATATAAAAAAAATTTTTTTTTTTTCTTTATTATGACAAAAGAAACGCAATGCACAAATACAGACCTCATCAGTAAAGTAGCCACCTACCAAGTGAAAACAAATATGGTTGTTGATTGGAACCGCCTATGAATAACTGACCTAAGGGCGATGTGTTTATGATGTAACATTCTAGCAGAAGGCTTCAAGGCTGAACTAATAAACCATCTAGAGATAAATTGGAATGAACCAGAAAGGGATTATGAGCAACAAGAAACATCAAAAGAAAAATTTGTTGAACAAACCCAGCCCGAAAGTTGTGAAAGAAGAGATGATCATTCTGTATAACAAGGTATTGAAAGTCAAAACTATGCCTTCTTGTTGTATATGGAAAATAGGCTGGAGGAAAAATTAAGGAAAAGTTGGGGGATTCTTTGTCGCGAGTTTTGGACAAGAGCTTGCAACAATAGTCAGCACAGCTAAATAAATTCAGCTCTGCAGAATTTCTTTTTCCCAGTAAGAAATTTAAGAAATTCTGAGACCAGCACAAGTATGATATACTCCATAATGCGGGTTCGTTGCTTCAAAAAGCAATACAGGAAGACTCAAAGGAAAAGGTCTTAGAAGCACAGGAAATGCTGAGACTAAAAGCCTTTGTTCTGAAAGTAGCGGAAGAGAAAGGTTGGAACCTTGTAGCAAAAATTCCCAAACCAACCTCGGGTGAAAGTGATGAGTTTAAAGACTTGTTAGTGAAGATACAAAAACAAGCAAAGCCTTGTAAATGCCAATCTGACTCGTATTACAGGAAAACAGAGCAGGATAAAAAGAGATTTTTTGGGGGTTTTGGGTCAAGAAATTTTCACTACGCACCTTACCCACCCTAACCATATACTTAATATGCTCCTCCTTTCTAAGGGTACCAAAACCAAGGATATCAAAGCCAACCTGTATTACAAAACCTGGGCTCAACCTACCAAAATTCGGTTGCCAAGCTATTAAAGCAGATTACTTGCTATTATTGCAGACAATCTGGCCATATGGCGGCAGTATGTGCATCAAAACCTGAAGAAGGAAGTTCGTCAGAAAATGTATTTTTTTTGGAATAAAGGAAATAATACATAGGTTAACTACACTCAGGGGGAGTATAAAGAACGAAAAAATAATGTTGATAGACAATATGAACGAAAGCAGAAAAGTGGTTGGGAAGATTTATGAATTATCGGTGATAAAATATTGGGTAGAAAAGATAAAACCACCACCGGTGGTAGTTTGTTGGTTGAAAAATCACGTACCTCTGTTTCCAAGAGATGTATAGAGCTTAGTTCAGAGTGAAAGTCTGAAACCCTACAAATTGACATTGGACTAAAAAACATGGAGATTCTTCGGTTAGAAAGATTGGGTGCAATAATAAAAGTAGGCACATCAGTGTCCTGTCTGGCCATGAATCATCCAGGGCAACCATAAAAAGTGCAGTAACGTGATTATAACATTTAGCCTGCATTAATCTAATTTAGGCCAATAATCTTTAAAATTCTAATTTGGTCGGAAATTAAGTTTTCAATTCTTGAACCGAAAAAAAAGAAATTAGGCCTGTTTATGGTAAAGTTAGATCGCAAATATTTTTTTTTCTTATGAATAGCTGTGGCTTTATTAGCATTAATATATAAAGTTGTGTACTGTAGCTTTGAATTGGCTATACCACAAGTCATGTTACTGCACTTTTTATAGTCGCTTTGGATAATTCCGTCCGGCCATACTGTTAGAAGTATCACTGATATTTCTGGTTCCCAAACCAGGCCCGAAACGTTTTCACTTGGTAATAGACCTGAGAAGACTAAACAAGCATTTGCCAAAAAAGTCATTCCATTTTGAGGGTTTGGGGGCTTATTGAGGTTAGTAGAAAAAGGTTGATTAATGATAACTCTGGATCTAAGGTATGGTTATTACCATGTATTGATGGACGTGGAGGCTCAATGCTTTCTAGGTTTTTGTGTAGAGAACAATTGGTACCAGTACCGAGTATTGCCGTTTGGCCTCTCCCAGGTGGTTTGGGTGTTCTCGAAAATAATGTGAGCCCTAGTTGTGTATTGGAGAACGATGGGTATAGCCTTGGGTTCTCATGTAGACAATATCTGAATAGCACATCTCTCAGAGACGGTGTTGGAGAATATTCAGGACAAAATGATACTACCAGACCTAAAGAAGTGCAGTTTCATTTTGGCCTGGAACAAGAGCAATCCAGTACTATTAAAAAGAATAAAGTTTAATGGTTTGTTGGTGGACATAGTAAAAGCACAAGTAATTGTACCAGAACAAAAGTTGGAGGAAACAAAAACTTGCCTAAGAGCCCTGTCGAAAATAAACTGAACAATAGCAAGGAAACTAGCAAGCATCGCAAACAAGATACAGAGCCTAGCAAGAGCCTTTGCCCAGCGCAAGTAAAGTGTCTAGAGTTTTACACCCTTGTAGATGTAGCAAACAGACAAAATTGGAGGTGGAACAAAAAGATTTAGTTATTGAACCAGGCAAAAATGGACCTGTGCTAGTTGCAAGAGAATCTGTGGAAATAAAATAGCCACCCGGCCTGGAGGCCATCAATGATAAGAAGTTTGTTTGTAGATGCCTCAACCACAGGTTGGTGTGCTAAATTAGACCACCTAACGGTATTCAGAAATTGGTCAAAAAAGTTAAGCTTTTGGGAAATAGCAAAATTGGAAGCGGAGGCAGTCCTACTTGGACTCCAAAGTTTCGCAAACTTGTTAAAGGGTTTCTGGGTAATAATATTTATAGATAGCTATACAGCTTTGGCAACAATGAAGTAGGTAGAAAACGTTGCTGGCAAAAGGAGATATACAAAAATTTGTAGCAGGTTTGTTTAGAAAAGGATATTTGGGTTTACAAAATGAGGTGGGTACCATCACTAGAGAACCTGGCAGATTTTTGGACAAGGGTATTCGATTCATTGAATTGGTATGTCAGGAAGGAAGTATTTCAGCAAATAGAAGCAACCTTCAGACCACATGGCCTTGCATGTAAATACAAAGCTGCGAAGGTTCAACAGTTGTCATTTCTGCCTAGGTTCAGAAGCAGTAAATTGTTTTATCCAAAGGTAGGAAAACGAGATAAACTACATGTGCCTGCCACTTCACCTAGTGCAAAAAGTACTCTGTTACGTGAAAAGCTGCAGCACAAGAACAATGGTTGTGGTGCCATTTTGGACCTCAGCTGAATGGTGGCCCTTGCTTCTGGACTTAAACTGGGAAGCTATGGTGCTCCCGGAATTAAAGATCATGTTTTGCCTGGGCCCGTCAGGATTCGTGAAATCCTGGAAAAACCATAAGTAGAAATTTTTGGCAGTACACATTCGCCCATAAGGGAGCTATCACTTAAGGCGAAGTTTTTGGCAAAAAATTCGGTCTCACCTTTCTACAAGGCAAAATCAGAAAGATATTGGGGCTTGTTCAAAAATTTTTATGTAGGGTTTGATGTAAATGTTGAAGAGCCATCTGAGGATGGAATTTTGGTGTTTATTATATGGTTGGATATTTCAGGTCTGTCATCCCAGACTTCCCAAATCATGCAAGTAGTTGTAAACAACCTTCAATTTGAGGGAAAGGAGAACTTTAGAAAGTTACTAGTGGTTATGCAGGTCTTGAGGGCAGTAAGAAAAGAAGCAACAAAGAATAAAACACTGGGCTGGCCACATGACCTGTTATCTGTCAGAGCCTTAAGGCACTACATGGATGTGCTCCCAGTCTGGGCAAATAGTACTATGCACACTTGTGATGTGGCTTTGATTGCCCTGGGAGTAAGAACAATGCGAAAACCAGGAGAATTGGGTAATTTAACTATGAGTGATATAAAGTGGGATAATGAGAGAATTTTGTGGGTTAGGATTTGTAAGTCAAAGATGGATCAGTTTAGAAATGGGAGGTTTATCTCGGTAAAAAGTACAGATTCAAAGTATTGTCTGGTTGGGCTGCTAAAATGGTACCTGAAGGTATGCCCAAAAACAGATGATGATGCTCCTATATTTTTATCGAAATAGGAAAAAAAGGTCTCTGCTTAAGCAATAGGTTCGATAGTAAAGCACTTTGCCAAGTATGCAGGCCTAAGAGGAAGGTTTACCACTCACTTGCTTAGGATAGGGAGGCAATAGCAGCAATGACTGCGGAGATAAACCTTACTCAAATCCGGGCAATCGGGGGCTGGGACTCAAAAGTAATTATGTTGTACTCGAGGATGGTATCTACTGCAAAAGCTGGTACCTCCTGTCGTATGGAGTTTTGAAAAAAAAAAAGAGGAAATGTATTTTAAAAAGAGACGGATGGCTCCATCTCGAGGAGGCTAGATCTTCTGAAAAAAAAAAAAAAAAAGAGAGGAAAGAAAAAGGAAAAACCTAAATTGGTTATATAAAAGGGGTTTGGGGTCCTGTAAATGAATTTTTTTTGTAAATAAAAGCTTCATTGGGTTTTGCCTTTTCTGGGTGCTTATTTTTTAGTTTCGTGTTCATTGTTTCCTTACTATTTGTACAATCCTCGCCAACAGTCCCATACTGTACTACAAGTTTCAGGCACAAATGTATTGTTGGCCACAGAAGTTGTTCATTCCAGGTGGAAGGAACGACTTTCATGACGAGCAATAATAATAACCTGCTTGTGAACAAAGTCACAAAGCGGTATATTATTGCAAGTCACTAGATCTCCCATGTGACTAGGGTTACAGGCCTGATTCCATGACAGAATAGGGATATTTAAGTAACTCAATGATCTGATCTGTCCCTTTGTTCTTGAATTTTTCTGCTTGACTTTGTGTCTAGCAACTCCACCTCTTCTGAAAAAAAAAACAAAAACAAAGAGAGAACCTATACTAGGAAAAGTCTGCTCACGTGACTCACAACGGTTTGTTTTGGTGACCTATCCCATACTGTACTACAAGTTTCAGGCACAGATGTATTGTTGGCCATGGAAGTTGTTCGTTCCAGGTGGAAGGAATGACTTCCATGATGAGTAATAATAATTTTCAAATAAGTGTGACCCCTGCTGATCATCTTTCATGCTGAAAATCAACCAAATTCCCCAATTTTGGTGCTTTTTTTGCGTATAAATCTAAATTTCTTGCTAACAAATAAAAATTCCCAAGATTTCTTTTCTATTTTCACTTTTTCAATGCTTTAACAAGTAATATACAAGAGTTGGTTGTTTGTATAGCTAAATAATATGGAAAATTTCAAGCCTTTTCTTGTATCATATTTCTTAATTTTTTTTAAAACTTTGAACAAAGATATTTTGACAACCACCAAGTCAAATTTGATGAACTTATCTTATTTAAATTCTACAAACCAGTATAATTCAAATAAAGAAAAGTTTATTAAATTTGGCTTGGTGGCTATTGAGATATTTTCTTTCAAAGTTTTAAAAAATTCTCAAATAAAAGTTGCATCAAATTTTCTCAAACTTAATATGAAGTTATCTCAACTTAATACGAAGATATCTCGACAACCACCAAGTCAAATTCAATGAAGTTTTTTTTTTTTGAATTCTATGAACTGTAGGATTCAAATAAAAAACTTTTATCAAATTTGGCTTGATAGTTGTCAAGATACCTTCACTCAAAGCTTTAAAAAATTCAACGTCTATCAAAAGCAATAAATTTTCTCAACTTTGAATAAAGTTACCTCATCAAATATTCAATAACCATTTTTTTATTTGAATTCTACAAACATGCAGAATTCAAAAAAAAAAGAAAAACCGAATTTGGCTTGGTGGTTGTTGAGATGTCTTCGCTCAAAGGTTTTAAAAAATTCAACATCTATCAAATAAAATTTTCTCAAACTTTGAACGAATATATTTCGACAACTATCAATCAAATTTTGATGAATTTTTTTTTTATTTGTATTTTACAGATATAGAATTCAAAAAAAAAAAGAAAAGTTTATCAAAATTGAGTGGATGGTTGTCAAGATATAATTGCACAAAGTTCGAGAAAAATTCCATTTAAATTTTTTAACTTTGAGCGAAGGTTTCTTAATAACCACCAGGCAAAATTCAATGAACTTTTCTTTATTTGAATTCCGCGAATCAGTAATTCAAATAAAAAAAATTTCATTAAATTTTGCTTGGTGGTTGTCGAGATATCTTCGCTCAAAGTTTAAAAAAGTTTGGGATATGAAAATCAAATTGCCGATTTCCGGATTTACAGATTCTAAGTGATGTGTGATCTACAAAATTTGATGGACACACTAATTTGAAAAGAGCGATAATTTACAAGATTCCGCAATTTCGCATTAATTATTGTCAATTAACAATATGGATAAATACTGTAATACCGTAATACAGTATAATGCGGAAATGCTACAATTCAATAATTTGACTCAACTATAAATATGATGTTATACGATACCTGACACCATAAATCTGGATTAGAATTATCAGTCTCTTCAGCGCTTTCTAGGGCTTTCTGTGCTTCTTCTAAGTTTCCAAGACGACGAAAAGTCGATGCAGAAGAAAGCCATAAATCCACTAAGCTTTTAGTGGCTCGTTGTTTTCTATGTCGCATTTTCAGTATTGGTTGTGAAGGTGCAATAAAAGATGTCACCGATTTAGCGGATGGAATACCGGAAATTGTGGGTGTTATACTACGACGAGATGATGCCGAGTTCCTGGAAGACGCGATTGACGATGCATAATTTGTCTTGGGAACCTCTAATAGTTATGTATTATTATTAGAATTTTTTTTTAGATATTTATTATGAAGAGGTAAAAAAATAATAAATTATAAGTTTTGACCAATTTACCAAGTGTATCCTTGTTTCCTAACCCGATGCTTGAAATAGAACCATCAGTACTTTCATCACCATCTTTCTTTTCGAGTACGCTTGGAAAGCTTCGTACACTAGTTGCGGGCTTTGGTGATTGTGTAGTTTGTGTCTGAGTGTCATCAAATGCATTACTTTGCTTTCGTGAGCTAGATGAATCATATGGAGGATCATTTGGTGATACCAACGTAAATTCAGGAAACATTTTTGCATATAAAATGAAAAGTTTTTCATGATTCTGTATTGCAGCTTCAGGACCGTTTGCTAACTCATGTAAGGCATTTTGAGTTAATTTAAAAGATAAAAATTCTTCACCATCATCTACGGATAAATCCGTATTTTCTAGGTCCGTTTCTTTTAAACACATTTCACATGCTTTCAATGCACCTTGAACATCTTTCTGAGAAGACATAAGAAGGACAAGTAAATGCCAGCAAGGAACACTCTCATTTTCTAGCACTATAGCTTGTCGAACGCAATCAATTGCTTTACTAATGTCCCTTGTAATTGCATATTCTAAAGCCAGAAGATAATGCGTTTCAAAAGCATCCGGATCAAGTGATATTGACTTATCGAATGCTTCGATTGCTTTTGAGTGAAGGTCAGGACGGTTTTCCGGATCAATAACTGTCAGTATTAAAATATTAAGTATAATAAAAGCGGATTTTCAACAATATAATTCTATATCACGAATTAAAGATGCGAAAGATGCGACAATAATTAAATCAACCAACCTTCGCGTGCAGTTAAACTATATCCAACACCAACACAACGCCAAGCTTGAGCAAATGATCTATTATCCACAAGACTATCGTCAATTTCACACCAGGTCAAGGTCTTGTTTGCATATTCCAAAGTTTTATCCGACTATATATCATAAACAATCATAAAAATTTTTGTGTACAGAAAACCATTTCCTTAGTAATATAATAATATAAATTACCTTGCATAAATATTTTGCCATCATCTCAGAACCAGTAATCAGTACTTTCACAACATGCTCGACACTTTCATTATCAGAAAATTTATTCTCATTTTCCGTGGATGGAATTTTTTTAAAAAATTCTGCAGTTTTTGTTTCTCTAATTTTCTCAACCAAGGTGATATAGGCTTCTAAAGCCAACTCAGCTTCATCATAATCACCGAGTGTGTACAAAGTAAATGCCAGATACCGTAGAATTTTTGGAGATTGAAAGGTTTTTTGAGCAGCGCGATAAAGCATCTGCATAAATCAAATAATTAAATATAATAAATACTTAGTAAATAAATGATTAGTAAACTGGGTGTAATTTTTAAAGGGGGCTGGTATTCGTACCCCCCTCAGAAAAATAAAAAAAATAAATTTCAAGTAAAGATATCTCAACACTTACGTAGTCAATTTCGATGAATTTTTTTTTATTTGAATTCTACAGGTTCGTAGAATTCAAATAAAAAAATTTTCATCGAATTTGGTCATGTGGTTGTCGAGATAACTTCACATAAAGTCAAAAAAATCAAAATAGAAGTTGCGCCGAATCAATTTTAAAACTTTGAGTGAAGATGTCTCGATGACCACCTGATCAAACTCAGTGAAAATTTTTTTATTTGATTCTACACATTCGTAGAACTCATATAAAAAAATTTTCATCGAGTTTGATCAGGTGGTTGTCGAGATATCTTCGCTCAAAGTCAAAAAAAAATCAAAAATAGAAACTGGGCCGAATTAATTTTACAACTTTGAGCGAAGATATCTCGATGACCACCTGATCAAACTCAATAAAAATTTTTTTATTTGAATTCTACGAATTTTTAGAATTCAAATTAAAAAATTTTCATCGAGTTTGATCAGGTGGTCATCAAAATATCTTCGCTCAAAGTTTTAAAATTAATTTAGTATTTTGATAGACGTTTTGATTTTTTTCTTTGACTTTGAGCGAAGATATCTCGATACCACCTGATCAAACTCGATGAAACCTTTTTATTTGAATTCTACGCATTTATAGAATTCAAATAAAAAAAAATTCATCAAGATTGATCAGGTGGTCATCGAGATATCTTAGTTCAAAGTTTTAAAATTGATTCGGCGCAACTTCTATTTTGATAGACATTTTGATTTTTTCTTTGACTTTGAGCGAAGATATCTCGATAACCACCTAATCAAACTCGATAAAAAATTTTTTTATTTGAATTCTACGAATTTGTAAAATTCAGATAAAAAAATTTGATCGAGATTGATTATGTGGTCATCGAGATATCTTCGCTCAAAGATTTAAAATTGATTCAGCGCAGCTTCTATTTTGATTTTTTTTGACTTTGAGTGAAGTTATCTCGACGACCAAAAGAACAAATTCGATGAAAATTTTTTTATTTGAATTCTGCGAACCTGTAGAATTCGAATAAAAAAGATTTCATCGAAATTGACTAGTAGTTGTTGAGATATCTTTACTTGAAATTTGATTTTTTTTTTATTCTTCTGAGGGGGGTACGAATACCAAATTTGGGGTACGAATACCAGCCCCCTTTTTAAAATATTAAAAATATTAAAATATTAAAAGAGATCTAACCTCAACCAATCCTCGCATTTCTGTAGTAGTTCCACCATTTAACACAACCCAATCAGACATTATTTGATCAACCATTTCCAAAACTCTCCGATTTATCTCACCAGCCTTAGGAAATGACGTTATTTGGTATAATACATTTTCATATAATGTATGCAAACTAGTTAGCTCGACGCGGAACGTATGCGGAGTATATATTGCAGATTGTTCACTACACGCAGAATGCACATTTATAGTTCAATAATTAACATCATTAAGATATCGATTATATGAATTGCATACTTAAGTGTAAATGCGGTAGGTTCACTTGGAGGAATATAAGTCTTTTCTTGGTATGTTTTCGAAAGAAATTTTATAAAATTCATAAATATGACAGCACGCTTATTGAGTCTGAATTTTTCACCCCATGAAGAAGTAGAATAATGCTGATATGTTCTGAAGGCTTGAAGTGCCCCTCTAACATCTCTGTAAAAAATAAAAAATTCATATGTTTGTAAAATACAAGTTACAATATTAAAAAAAAAAAAAAAAAGATTAAATTCTCGTACTTACCCCAACCTTACTTTCAGCAATGATGCTCGATATAGAACATCTTCCGTCCAATTTGCCAATTGTTCTTGTTTTTCACCAGAATATTGAGCAAGTAAAGCGACAACCTGATCATAATAAGCGATTGCACCATCCGCACCGTCAAAGTTACCAAATGTTTCTTGCGCCATTCCTATAACGAAAGAAAGACTCATTCATTATGGTAACCAAACAATAATTACATTAATTTTTTTTAATATAAAATTTTATTTTTACAAACCTTTTATAGCTAGGCCTTGAATGATAAGTACGAAATTGTATCCTACCGGTATTTGAGATGGAACAAAGTTGGTACTCAAAGTCTGGATACATTGGTCAAATCTCCCCACAAAAAAATAGGTACGAGCTAGTACAATAGAAGTGTACTATAATTGTAGTAGATAAAAGGATCATTTCTTCTTTTCGTCAGAAAAATTATCGAAATAAAACTAACGTTTTAATACATAACATAATAGTCATCACCATTTTAATTTAAACAATTCTTAAAGAGTAAAAATAAAATATAAAGTCATAAGAAACTTTGTAATATATCTTTAAAACTATAGAAGGGGAATATAACACACCTTATTAAATAATTTTTAAGTGAAAGTGTTCCTATCACTTTATATCGAAGATATCGAAGATTGCATTGGCTCACCTCTTTCTCTTGTCCTGAAGCTTGTGAAAGTGCCGACTCTAATTTAGCGAATACATCACTGACTAAAGATTCATCAACTGTTGTAGGCATTGTAATACGATTGGGTGAATCATTATCATAAATTTCCTTGGTTTTTTCAATTGCTTTTACTAAAGCTAATTCCGCTAATACAGTCTGTTCTAAAACTATAAAAGTAAATTTAATTACATTGTTGGTTAGTAATTGAAAACAAATATAAAATTATAATGCACTTAATTAAAAAAATAATAATAATACCAAGTCCATCGGGACTATGTTTTCGATATTTTCTTGCTAATTCAGGAATCGCATTCCAATTTCCTTGAAAAAAATATGGATAATATCAGAAATAAAATTAATCAAATTGAAAAATTTTAAGAAATTTATTTTTGTAAAATACCCTTGCATCGTGCGGCGTCTATTTCCTTCTCCCTTTGATTCGCTTTAAATATGTTTACCATCGAATTAAAATTTAATGTAAAGAGTTTGTTTGTAAAATTTGTGAAAGATTTTTGAGATACAAACACTAACGACAACCCTTTTAAAGAAGTTTTAGGGACTTGGTTTGATTGGTTGTTAATAATGGTAATTGCAGATTTTTAACATCCAAATGTGGTAAGGATTACTGTAAATACCAATTAGCCAAAAATTATGTAAGGTACTTACTGTTCATATGATTGGTTAGTTTTTGACACAATTTTTTTAATACACGCAGAAACATATCGATATCTGATATTTTTAGAGAATAGATAGATAGATATTTATTACTCAATAAACCAGAACTCATTAAAGAATATACGAGATATAACCAAAACTTTTAATTTATGGCTGACAAACCCAACATGCTATAAGACCGAACAAAATTTAACCATTAATAAATGCCTCCCAAAAAACTTTTTAAAAAAAGAACTTAAGAAAAAATCATAAAACTTGATAGTTTTTTTCACAAATAGTAAGATATCGATCTAATTCAAATGTTTCAATAGTTCCAACAGTTCATGGATTTCTTTTTTGAGAATATTGGCTGTATTTTTATGAGTACTACTGTATTAGAGTATTAGAGTATTCTTTTATTATACTTCTAAAAATACTATTTATGTAATTGTCGATCAGAAATATAAGGCATTTTAAAAGTTTCGAAAGAAAATTTACGATTATAAAAAGTATTACTATTGTTATTTATATAAATAAGCTTACAAATCAATATACTGTTGAACATCCCAAAACCGATACGCACGGTGGACAGATTTTGTATCAGTATTGAGAGGTTATACATAGAGATTGGAACCGGTGAATAATTTTTCGAGCATCGGTCAAAAATTTCAAGCATCGAAAATAAGCTTCATTCACTGAGTTTTTAATTCGGATATCATCGAGTATCAGTGAATGTTAAGATTTAACTATTTGTTTTGATAATGACAGCATAATGATACATTTTTTGATTGAAATTTAACTTTGATAATGATAACATGATTATATAATTGATAAATCATATATTAAAAATGTATTGATAGTAGTACAATTGATAATATTACTAAATTTTTTAAAAATTCATCAAACATTATACATTATAAACTATTAGATTTATATAACGGAAACGGATCAGATTTGATTTTGGGAGGGTCAACAGTAATTGAGATTTATCACTGATTTCGAAATAAATACATCACTAATTTAATTTACCCTAATGCAGTAATGCTTTATATAGACTTAATTATTTAGTACGTATTAGGGTGATTATGTCAGTTATTTACTATGATCAGTTTTTATCAACAAAATTAAAAGCCTTTTAATTACAAAGAAAAGCGTAAAATTCTAAAGTTTTCACACAAATATTATACTTATCTATCTAATTTCTCTCGATTGAAAACGCTACACCAAAACTATCTCAATGTAGCTATGTTGATTTTTTTTGCTAAATTCTAATTAAATTTTGACTTACATGTTTAGGATAAAGCTTTTTCATTCTAATTGATGAAATTTAGAACATTCTGCAAGGCGAATGCCCAAAACTTACATGTTAATAGAGGATTTTAAAACATAGCTTTATTTTTAGATATTTTATAATCAACTTGTGAAAGTTTCAAGATAGTTCCATGTCTCAATAATGAGTTGAAACATTTAAAATACAGTACATCGCTTAACAAAATATTGGTTGTAATCTATTATTGAAAATTAATATTTGTATAACATAAATCTGCAATATATCAAATTCCGACATTTTGATAACTTAGTTAATTTATCCGTACTTGCGATATCCTTTGATTTACAAGGTCATTATATAAATTTGAATAATACGCAGAACTCATGAAATACTAAATATATACAGTGAGAATTATATTTACTGAATTTCTTAGAATTAACTAAATTTTTTGTAATCAGTTTTTGTTTTATCTCATGTGAAAATAAAAAGAGTTGGTATTTATTGGTCGACAAACACTTATTTTCTAAATGGCATTTGGAAATACGATACCACTCGCTAGAGAATCTAAGTATAAACTTAAGGATATTTTGATTCCAACAAATGAAAATGCACAAGATGGTTTATATATTTTTTACCTGGAAAAGAATTTAAGAATGCCAGATTTTTCCGAAATCGTGAACAGGCTTCATATAGATAGGGGGTGTAGAAAAAACGAAGATGGTAATATCGTGTCTGTAAACAGTTGGAAGAAATTTGCTTATCTTTGAAAAAAGGTTCTATTAGATTGTCACAGGAAGATTTGGAGCCTACTGAAGAATATATCAATGCAGTTGAAAATGCATTAAGTTATTCAGATGATGGTCAAGAACAGAGAGAGGCTTTTAATAGAGTAGGAGAAGTATATGTGCTTTTTTGGTTAGTATAAATTTTTATAATTAAATTCTTTATAGTATCGTAATTATTATAATAAATTTTAATTCGTGATCCGCATGCAGATCAGTGAATTTTAATATTAAAGTGCGGGAATAATTAACTTAAAGGTTTTGAACGTGTATTAGAATCTACTAAAGTTCACTAGACATTTTTTTTTTTTTACATGCCCAAACACAAAGAATATACAATTTTATTACTTTCTTGCGGTATTTGGGATAAAGGCTTGCATTTTGGGCCTTTTTGCCATAAATGGTGGCTTCCTTGGCCCATTGATAAAGCAAATAAAATAATCTAGCTATACTCTATTCGATTATATTTCAAAACATTAGTCATATTAAAAGCATGTGAATTTATTACTGAAGTAGTTCAATCTAATTCTGCTTTTGGTCCATGCCCCGGGTATATTTGTAAATGTGGTGAGATTCAAAGTGATATATGC